TCCTAGCTCTTCTCATGACGGATACACTACTGGATACAACGGATCTACCGCATGATCGACCGGAACATGAGCTTCTCAAGAAAAGCGTGATGAAGCCAACGGCTGGGCGCATTCGGCTGCCTTAATTTATCTTGCTGCCTTCCGAAATCATGCTCGACCCGGTGACTGTCTGTCGTGGACTTTGACGCTTCTAGACTCTCCAGCGGTGAAGCGATGGTCATAGAGACACTCTTGCACACCCCACCTCTAGCTGCCCTCGAAAGAGCGAGACCCGCTGGCATTGTTGTGTAGATGGTGGAGGGAAAGATGCAATCTAGCGGTCAACATGCTATTGATGCGAGAGGTATGTCCTGGGCAAGGTTGATCACAGGATTTGCGAAGTCCATTCAATTTTATGGGCGATTCAGGATCCTAGCTGCTAATAACTAAAAACTTCATACAAAAATGATATTTCGAAACCAAAGACTGATCCCGGCTCAAGTCTCGGCACTGCTGAAAATACCCTCTTATCTTCAATGCTGTCGTGTAGTCTTCATTTCACTCTCGAATCTCTCGTATCTTGTAGAGTATCCTCCAATCCTGCTGCATATGTTTGAGGTGGTGTATGGATTTCTGATAGTTTCAGCTCTGAGGGCCAAAGCATTTGCAAATGAGGATGCCCATAATGGTTCGTAATGGTCTGCGAGCTGAGAATCACAACCACACAATATCTTCGACCGTCCACCACGACTGTTATGGATTTCCGCCTGAGACTGACTCGAGTGTCACTCGGGATATCTCTGATGTAAAATTTGGGTTCGAATTCTTCAGAGCATGCGGGTGGGCAGGACACTTGGTCCAAAACTTCAAAGACAAAGACTGCGTTCGGCGGCCACGAGAATTGAGCAGCTTCTCGATCATCTGGGCCGCGAGGAACTAGCTGTAGGCCTCCATTGATACACTGAGTGACAACTGCACGGGCATCTTCGACTGTGTCAATTGACATATACTCGGTGGGGTTCAAGGCAGAGGCTGGAGGAACCATATCGCCAGTGGTATCAGGAAGAGTGAAAGAGTGGCACAGGAAAGGATTGACCAGAACACAAGACGAGCTGGTAAATACACGTCTTGTTTCTTCACTGCGAGATGGACCCCCTGGTTTTAAAGCGTCGCCGACATGTTATCTCACTTCCATTGTCCAGCTGCATCACATTGTTGGTTCCTCTTCCGGCGGACATGATGAACCAACCGGTATTCTAGCATTGCGAAACCATCCAAGGGAGAGGTCTCGCACACATGTGACCCACACCACGTCAGAGTGGACGTCCTCGCCAAAGCTAAAGTTAGGATCCAGCCTCAAAATACAGCTGAAGAGCCTCAATATCACTTCATGGTTTGGAGCTCTCTATCTTAGCGCTCATCGGCTATAGTGATTGCAGTGCCCTTCAAATAGAGCCAGTGAGCCTCTTTACGTGTATTTCGGGAAAATTCCTTTCTATTACATGATCCTAAACCGACTTCTTGCGATGACTTAGACCGACGAAGTTCTACTTTTTGTGATATAGACTTTGAGCGGCGGAGAAAACGGGTTGAACAAAAACGGTTTGCACGTGGTTGCAAGTGCCCTGGCATGTTTAGCGTTTTATCATAACCCTACGCCCCTCACAGAGAGTGCTAAGCAGATCAGCATCGCCTGGCAGTTCATGGTACGAAATGTACCCTTGTAATTGCACACAGTCGCAACCTTTTCGACGAATGCAGTCCAATGGGCTTTGTCCCTTTTGTGGAGGTAGTGCGTGAAGCTCGATCCAAGACGTTCAGCTTTGAACTTGTTTGTCAAAGTCTATGCCATGACGAGCTGTGGCGTTAGATTTAGCCCGCAGATCAGTTCATTCTAGATCCTTTGAGACTTTGGCCAATGTCCGATTGGACAACAAGAGGATAAAACCCTGGCTCCTCAGCCTGATGAGAGAATCAACAACAAACACCTCCACTATCATGTGGGGCACGCCTGAATTAACAAACGAGAGTCCTAGGAAGCCAAGAAATTTGATCGACAGCGGGGTTCACACTGAGCCGATAAGATTCCGGCGATACGGAGAATGGGTTTATAAACGTTGAGGATGGAGAGAACGCAAGTTGGCACGCCGTCTTGTCGCCTTCATTGGGGAGAGGCTGAGCTTCCTTGCCTGATGTATGGCGTCTCCAGTGCAATCAGGCGTTACGTTTTGTTGACAGTTCTAGGCTAGCCCAATTAAGAGTGAGAGTGAATTGGGGGCCAAAGTGGGCATCGTCGCGCTCCACCTTCGCGCAGACATCAGAAGCCGCGAGTGTGCGCTAGTGACATATAGGGCTAATCACTACGCTGTCTAAGGCTCTACCTGGCATATCCGGATCGTCTAAGCGAGATCGCCAATCGACATTTTTCTAGCCCCGTGATAGGTCTGTTGGAGGACCAAGTGTCCAACGTCTTACCTACAGCGGACAGACTTTGGCCGGGGGTCAGCGTTTTTTGGTGAAAGCCATTCCGCTGTTTTCCCTACCCCGGAGGCTCCGGTAGCTAAAGCGAGGTTTAGGCACGTTTTGGGGTATGAAGCCAAAACAGAGAGCATTTCGGAAACGCGAGAAGATCCGAAGCCATAATCGGTTCCATAACTAACTATACATCTTCTGAGCACTTCAAATAAGTAGTCTCTATAAATAAACGAACGTATTTCGGTATTTCGCCTTTACATGGTGTCTGACTGACATCTTCCAGTCGTATTTGATACGAGGATCTGGCGCCGCTTTATGGTGTTGGCTGGTTCTGCCAGTTATCGTGAAACTAAGTGCCGATATCCTCAGGTGCGAAAGGATGTAAAGTAACGCTGCATGGGGACCCTTCGTGCTGAAGAAAGATAAAATAAATGAAAACCAGTGTGATAGCGCCAGAGTTCAATGGATGACGATTAGTCTTTGCCGTAGGCTCGATACTAGGGGAGTGACGGTGTCCTCGATCCTGCAAGGGCGCCGATCCATTTAACGTCAGTTTGCTAATCTACTTCAAGTAACATCTTACACCTTAGGCTGTCAGATAATAAGATCAGATGCTATGGAGCACTACGGTTCTAGTGATCTCATATTGTCTGATCCCAATGCAGGTCGCTATTACATCGGGCCATGACAATAAATGTAATTTATCTATTGACACGTACGTCGTGTCGACGACTTCAACCCTTCTCGTATTCGAGCGCCTAGCACTCTTTCCAGATGAATACGTTGATACGATCACTCCACATAATCCCAGACTCATTGCGGTTAGGAGACCTTTGCGATGCCTTAGACTGGTGGAGTTTAGCAACCGGTGGGCGTACCGTAGAGCTAAGTGGGACAGGGAGGAAGCATATCTTTAGCGTAACGGACTGGAGATGGGGGGAACAGAAGCAGGGCGAAGAGGGAGAATAGGAAAGTGTTAATCTAGCGCGGCGGAAGAAATCGAGGCCTTCCGGACTTACTGGCCAAGTCGAGATTGAATGTCAACCAGCTTTAGACGCATCAAGAGTACATCTGATCACTGCGTAAGAGGAACACACAAACAGACCACGCACTGCATCACCACACTACCGAAGCTACATGCCTTGCATCTGTCTAAATGCCCTACCCAAAAAACCGCTGACCTTACCACCTACCTATCGTACCGCGTCCAGACTACTTGACAAAGCGCCGGGAATTTCCTATCATATACCGGCACCGGGATGTTTCCAAGTACTTATACCAAGGCCACTGATATTATCAAGATATAAGCTGACGCGCAAATGGCGTGAATCTACAGCATCCATCAACCTTCAACGCAAGGTCACGAGTGCCTCTTTACCCGACACAATGTAGCCTCATCTTAATTTACAAGACCGCTACAAGGTAACTTGCTTATTGCTTTCTTGTTATCTAGTGGATAAAGTCATTAGCCATATCTAGCTAAGTATCAGGTTAACATCCTCCACACCTTGCTCTTCCCAAAGCTCCCTTTGCACATAGCCTCGCCTAGGGGCGGCTCACTCGATTGTCCAACGGCTTTTGTGGTATTTGCCTCTGGAAAGTTACTTGAATCACTATCTTTCGGTAATTGTAGCCAGCTGCATAGTCTCTTTCACTTATCGAATAGGCATGGTTGAGTATGCATCCACACTTTTCCCTGGCACTGTCGGAGACCACCAAACCATGCGCGATTTGGGCGACAGGAGGTGATGGGATATTGTTGAAGCTTGGTCGTTCCCCCATGCTCCTTGACACATCGAGCTGGTCTTGTGCTCCTTGGTTGGTCATGAGATCCAGGTAAATAAACATCAAAGACACATGGCTCTTGCGGAGTCAAAGGGCTAAACCAGAAACTCTGCTGGAAAGTCAATAATTTATGTATAGCAAGCCTACCAGTCATCTGATCCTAATAACCAACATACCGCAGCTACACCATGAATACCTGTCTTCAACAACCTAAATAGATGAGTCAAAAATAAAACAAGGATCTAATACTCAGCTATTGGTTAAATAATTATAGCTTGGGCCTATAGTCACTACTTAATTTTGTGAGTTTCTAGTGTAATAAGGTTAAGAGTTTGGAAGAGGCTTCAGCCCCAAGGCACAAAGGAACAGGTAATACCCATGGCTCTTACTGTTGTCTAAGCTTTTGCTTTTGGCCGTAAAGCTAGATATCCATACAAGTAACTCTGAAGGTGTATAAATAAGTGCCTGCCTGCTGCTCCTCTGTGATAATGATCCAGCTTGAAGCACAGAGCACACAAAACATACATAAGGTGAGCTTATACAGTAGTTTGTGTAGGTTTTGCTGTTGAAAGTCAAGGCGCAAAGTCATGACTGAGTTAAGCGAGACCAAGTATAAAAGGGCAGAAGTAGCCGGCTTTCGATCCTAATCTCGTCAACCCCAAAGCAAAGGTCCGAACCTAGAGCTATACAGCATCACATTCTCCTCAGTCCACGCTAATTCCGATCTTTGACACTCAACCTACTGCAAGCTTAGTAAAAACATGGCCATGGACACAATATCCTGGAATCGCTTCCCTGCAGAGATTCAGAACATGATTGTTGGTCTGCTCCCATTTCTCGGCGGGAAGTACAGTCAGCTTGCGGCTGTTTCCCCAGCTTGGCGATCAATGATCGAGCCGCACAACTTTGCCGAGATCAGTCTGACAGTACCGCGCCTTACCGACCCTGACTCTCAAGCCATTCTCGCCCGAAAAAGAAACCACATTCGTTATATCTGGTTTCGGGTGGAACTGAAGTAGTACGATTGCACAGAATGCGTGAGCGCTGACAGGAGGCAATGGGGCTTGGACGAAGTTGACAACCAATTCATCGTGGACGCGTTTCAAAAATTATTCACAACACTGAGCGCATGGGAGCCTCGTGGTGACTTGGTCCTCGATATTAGTGTCTACTCGCCTAGTGACAACCAGCACTGGTTCAAGTACCTCAGCTTCTCCTCGGACACCGACATAGGTGTGCCATCTCATCATGGACACGAACGCGGAGCCATCGCGAATGACCCAGCCCATGGCTGGGTTACCAGACAGCATATCCATGCTCCGGAGAAACCGGCCGTCGAGCACGTATTTGACGAGATCATGGGCAGGGGACCTTTCCCTGATTATAAAGCTGAGATGCGGTGGTGGCGGAGTCTCCCCTCTGTGCCTGTCGCTGGGGTCGTGCTCTTTCGCCAACAGACTCGCCGACGATGGAATTCACTCGCAATCACGAACATGCTTACGCGGTTCCCAAACATAAAGGAAATTTGTTATGAACCCTGGAGAGAATTGGGTGATATGAAAATCCTGACCGATGAATGTAAGTGCTTGTTTGATCTCTGACAGCTTAATTGATGCAGCCGCTAACCAATCGGAAACAGGGAACCAAAAGCTCATCCAGAGTTTCCCCCAGAGGGGATCATTACGCAAGTTAATAATATTCGAGAACTTCGATCAGTCTTACGCAGAAATTTACCAGGCTCCCGCTATTAGGGTGCCAAGCCGAGCTGTGAGCGAGAGGCTTGCTCGCACAAGCCTACACCTTGAGATACTATCCGCCTCCTTTATGGTCGATGCCAGTCGCTTCTTCGCAGCGCCTCAGATTCAGGATTCATGGACGTGGGGTAAACTTACTTCACTGGCGCTGACTTCAAACGTCCTCACTGGAGATGCAGACCCACTGCATGTTGATGAAATGCTTCAAAATGCTGCCGCCGCTGCATCCAAGATGCCGAGACTTAACATAATGGAGTTGTGGAACGGCAAAAAAGGTGTAGCGATGCTCTTTCGCTACAAGAGGGCGCGAGAAGATGGGCAGCCACCTATCATTACTATACGGGGAACATCAGAGCTTGCTCTAGGGGCTGGAGTTGTGGAAGCTTGGGATATGGTTGCTTACCAGCACTGCCATAGCAAGGTCGTCATACAAACCTCCTCGATCGATCCGAAGGGGATTCGATCCCACGGTGATGCTATCTACCAGCTGGGACTTCTAACTGAGGTCACTAGACCTGTCTCGCTACGGCAGATCATCGACGAAAATTCGGTTTCACGCTTGAGACCATCACCACGATCAGCATATCCAGGATTATCAGCATGCAGAAGCTATTGTGTGGCACTCAAAACTTGGTTCTCATAATATACTTAGGCATAACAGCAACGGCGACAGCAGTAATAAAGAGCTGTTTGCAGAGGCCAAGAAGTAGCCCAAAGCTGTCAAACCGAAGAAGCGCCCATATATCAAAATCATGGCAACATCAGATATTCGAAAACTTACATTTTGGCAGAAAGAATAATTACCTTCAAGTTTATCACTACACTCTCTGTGAGGAGCAGCTGAGAGTGACCACAGACGTCGTTAACTGCTCTTGTGCGTCTTCATCACCGGAGAGGTAAAATCCAAGCAAAAGGGAACGGCTCGGGTTTGGTATGTAAGGCCATTCCTCCTTTCGTGTCACTGGTGGTTAGTAAGTTAACAAGCGATCTCTGTATACTCTTGCTTTTCTCTGAAGCCGTCCTGATGTAGGGAAGTTCATCAACTAATATACCACATAGGTTCCAGATCAAAACTCTTAAAAGTGATCAGGGAGCAAGAAAACAGAAGAAATAAGAACATGATACTAAAATTAAAGTCTTGTCTAGTCTATGTGAATAAACAGCTTAGAAACCAGAAATTCTGAGTGTATCTTGGTTTGTCGGGAAATAAAGAAAAGAATTCATTTGCGATATTCAGTTTGGCAGCTTCACGCCTGCGTTCTTTGCCAACTTCAAGATCTCAGTTGTCACGGCGTCGACATCGTGGCTCTTGATCGGTATGCGGTGCCCACCATCCCACTCAACCAGCGTCGTTGTACCAGTTGCGCAGTATGTCTTCATTAGAATCTGGTGCTGCTCGAGTCCAGGATCGCGAAGCCCATGGACATGCAGTGTTGGTATGTTCAAAACATGGTCGCCAACATTCGACTCGGGGAAGTCCTTGAACTCGGAGCTCAACAGTGCCGCATCAACAACCGCCGGGGGATGTTGCAGCCGAGCATCCAGCGTAATCAAGGGCGCTCTCCCAGCCATGAGAACACCAAACTTGAACTGCGTCAGCGCTTCTTCTGCACCAAACTGCTCCGTCACTTTCTGCTGCGTCCACAATAAACTCGCTGCAATCTTAGCGCCCTGCGAAAACCCCAAAATGCCGATCCACTCTCCGGTGCCGGGGTCGGTGTCCATAGCCCTGCGGGCCTGGTTCCGAAGTAGCTCGGCGGCGGCCTCTGCTTCAATCTCGGGGTGATCGGGCTGCCAGCGGAGCCAGCGCCGAAAAGGGCCGTATTCACCGTAGACGCTGACTATGTCTGGGTGAGGCGCTGAGATGAAGGGTGCTTGCATGAAGACTAGACGCAGTGAGGAAGCGAGACTTCTGATGAGAGCGCGGCATTGAAGTTCGAAGACTTGTGCATTGACGCCGCCGCCGTGAAGGCAGAGAATGCGGGGGAGATGGAGAGTCTCTGGATCGCTGGAGGTCTGTATTTGTGTCATGGTGGAAGTCTAGTGACAAGTGTCACTCTCAAGAGCTGAAGAGAATGTGTTATTATCACGGTTGCGAAATGAAGTTTACAAGACAGCGTTTCGGTCTTTGTGTAAGCTTAAACCGAGGATCACCGGCTTCGGGTAAGCTTTCCTAGCATTCCCCGAGTGACACCCGCTTCGGGCTCCGAAAAACAGCGATGATCTCCGTGCACCAGCGCATCATACAAAACGCAGTATCTACAAAATATCTAGATAAGTCACCATCGCCGCCATTTCAATATTTCCACAATTTCACATGCTCCCCAACAGTTTCCCTCTGGTTTACGGTGGAAGAGCTCGCATTGGTTGACATGGTGGCTGTGTAGGACCCTGAAATTCAGCCACGCAAGCACCTTATCGCCAAGCCACTATGATGACATCAATCGCGTGCGGCTTGTCGCAGAATGGTTCAGGTTCCTTGCAGTTCATGGAACCGGTTTCGAATTGTCTCGTACGCCACTCATGAGTCTAGAAGTGACGAGGCCTCTCATATCAGTGAATCGTCCCTAATAAATATAGTACCTGTTCGTCTATTAAAGACATCTCTCACCCAGAACCTAAGATTCAGTCCACTTTCTCTCCCTGTTCCTAGCTCTTATACCTGACACGAAGCTACCCCGCCATTGACTCTCAACCTCAAACCTTACAACTACAACACCTACAGCTTTACATTAGTACCTATAATCCGATGTCGAATCCTGAGAAAGCTCCCCAGTATTCCGCTGGCAACCAGCATGGAGGTGGTCTACTTCCTACTGCCGACCCTTCCCACAATCAACCTCAAGATTCCTCTCTGCCTCCAGCGTACAACCAAGGATCTGCTGAGCTTCCGGGAGACGAGAAGCCCCGCGTACCCCAAAATCCCGATCAACATGTCCAGTTCTCAGGATCCCAGAGCCAGCAGCAGCCTCCTCCGTTTACGTCCACTACCGGAAATGAGCAATATCCCAGTGCTGCAGAGGAGAAGCGCCAGCTAGAACAGCAGTACTTCCCTCCCCCTCCTCCCGGTCCTCCTCCCGCGCCAGATCAACACCAAACTTCCGCTGCTCACCCGAACCCTCTCCAGGGCAACCCAGTCACTGTGCCTCAACAGCATCAGGAGACTCACCAACCCTTTGACGCTCAGCAGTCTCAGCAGGCCCAGCAAAACTACGCTATTCCGCAGTACGACCCTGCTCATTCTACTTTTGCGCCCCCTCCTACCAACCAGCCAGCTCAGGGTCAGGCGCCTCCTCAGCCAAGTCCTACAGTTCCTACACATGGCCATGGCTTCGGTCATGGTCCCGAGACAACCACAACCCAGGCTTCGACTTCCGCGCATCCTGAGACACACAAGAAGCCTGGTTGGAGCGAAAAGTTCAGTCAGCTTGGTATCAAGGCCGCTGCGCCTATCAACAGCTTAGCCCACAAGTTTGGTAGCCAGAGTTTCCTCCCCGAGACCATCGACAAGGAGTGTGACAAGGCAGCTTCTATTCTGAAGTCCTTCTGCAGTAAGTCACCCATACAGCTTGACCAGAACATCCGCTAACATACTCTAGAAAACGGTGTCTACGCCGATCCTAGCTCTAGCCAGGTTCCCACATCAACAGACCCCAAGGCACAGGAGACGAATGACGAGATCATCGATCCCACCAAAGAGAAGCCCAAGAAGAGAGTTCTTGTCAACATCCCTCCCAAGGTCATCGCCAAGGCCCAAGGTCTGGCTATCTTCACAACCCTTCGTGCCGGCTACGCTTTCTCTGGTGCCACTGGCTCAGGTATCTTGATCTCTCGTCTCCCCGATGGATCATGGGGTCCTCCTTCAGGCATCCAAGTCCACTCCGTTGGCGCTGGTTTCATGATCGGTCTTGACATTTACGACTGTGTCTGTGTCATCAACAGCCGAGAGGCTCTCAACGCTTTCGCCAAGACTCGTGTTGCTCTGGGTAGTGACCTTGCTGTTGTTGCTGGTCCATACGGCGCCGGCGGTGCTGTTGAAATTGGTGCCGCTATGGATGGAAAGAAGAAGGACAAGGAGAACAAGGACGAAGAGGCTCCACCCAAGCCTCCCCGCCCTACCGAGGACAACCAAGGCCTGAAGCCAGAGACCGATGCCGACAAGAAGAAGAAGCGCCGCAGCTTGAGCACCGGCGCTTTCAAGCCCGTCTTTTCTTACGTCAAGTCCCGCGGTTTCTACGCAGGTATTCAAGTCGACGGCACTGTCGTTGTCGAGCGCAAGGACGCCAATGCTGCTTTCTACGGCGAGCGCGTCTCAGTCGAGCAGATCATCCGAGGAGAGGTTCCCCGCCAGAGCGGCATGTGGCCGGCTGGTGCTCGCAACCTCCTCGAGACTCTGAAGGGTGCTGAGGTCGGATCTCTCAAGGTCAACTCCGTGTCTCCAACCGATCGGGACCCCACTTCCACCGGACCTTCCGATCCTTCGGCGCCGGTGGCGTCGGGAGCTAGTGCAGGACAGACCCAGCCTCCGGGATATGTTGATGATGGAGTTCACCGACCTGAAGTTGGAGATGTGAAGTACCGTTAGAGATGAGAACGGATATTGTCAAGATACCACGACTGAGGGAGGTAATACTTTGATTATTTTCTTGCTATGGAATTCTAAGTAGTTTTAGCCAAAATAACAAGTGCATTTTTTGAACACGAACACGAACTGCTGACCTATATGTGAATATCTTTGACATTGTATTTATAGGAACATATAGATCAAATGCGTGAACAATATTCCACTTAGTTACATAGTTAGTTTTCTGTCTGTTTTCCGAAATTACGTAGGAAGTGTCTTTTTGATGTTTAATAATAACGACCACCCAGTATCGTAGATACCGCGTGTCATCGGTCCCGACATTAAAGCCCACATACTTCCAGGAGGAGGTAAGAAAAGTCTGGGTCTTTACCCTAAGGAATAAAAGTTCTTAGGCAATTCGGTATAAGCTTAGGATGCTTTTTGCTAAGTTTATTTAGCATCCTCTTCTAAAGTCTGATATTTTCTTGCTCCCCGGACTCTAGGGTAGCGACTGCTGCGCCACATCGTATGTCATTGCCCCTCCAACGTGGCGCCTCCACAAGCTCCAAGCTCTCATGAAGTCATTGCAACTCTAGCCTAGCGATCTTGGCAAGAAAGCCGACTTTACAACACAAAGGCTCAAGAACCCGCCCGCAGGTTCGCAAACGAAGCCATGTCGTCGTAAGAAGACCCAGATATACTGGAAATCCTGAACTCAGCTAACATTCCCTCCCTCCTCAGAAACATCCTATCCATCCCCTTTCGCAAGTCGACCCACCTCTCGCTTGCTTCTACGATACGGCAGTATATCAACACCAAATATGACCAGCACCCGGATATGTTCAAGCATGACCTCGAGGTCATTGATGCACTTCGGCGCGATGCGGTGAACGTGCGAGAACCGCATCCGAGCGGCATCAAGAAACTTCAAGCTTATGCCGGGCAGCTTGTTTGGGTTGGGGGCAAGTTTCCCATAGATGTGAGTGTCACGCGATGTTGGACGACTGCGCAACAAACTGACGTTGATGAATAGATTGGCGCCGAATTTTCGTGGTACCCTGCGCTTGGATACAATACCGAGCGCCCTATGGTGCGGAACAACCTCAAGTACGAGCTTATGAACATTCTCTACAACCTCGCCTCCCTCTACTCCCAGCTCGCCATCAACACGCCCCGGGGTAACACTGAAGGCCTCAAATCAGCAGCAAACTACTTCTCCCTCGCGGCTGGCGTTCTATCACACATGCAAAAAGAGATCCTCCCCGAACTGCGAATGTCCGATCCTCCCGAAGACATGGACCACGACACACTCGAGTCGTTGATCCAACTACTCCTTGCCCAAAGCCAAGAATGCTTCTGGCAAAAAGCCGTTATGGACGGCTACAAAGATGCGTCAATTGCAAAGCTCGCAGCCCGAGTGTCCGACCTTTATAACTTTGCTGGCGAAGCTGCTATGAAGAGCGAAGCCATAAGCAGTGCCTGGATCCACCACATGAGCGCCAAGCATCATCACTTTGCTGCTGCTGCGCAATACCGAGCAGCGTGCGATTGTCTTGAGAAGAGAAAATATGGAGAAGAGGTTGCGCGACTCAAAGATGCTGTTGCTTGTGCGACGGAGGGCATTAAGGAGGCCCGAAGTGGCTATCTTGGCAAGACGGTGGTTGACGACCTCAATGGGTTGAAGCGCAAGGTTGAGGAAGATTTGAAGCGAGCAGAGAAGGACAACGATGTTATCTACCTAAGTATGTGTGCTGCGACCCTTGTTTTGTTGAGTACTAACATTTGCAGTTGCTGTACCACCAAAGTCGGAGCTCAAGATTCTTGATCGCGCAAACATGGCCGTAGCTCGGGTTCCACCGCAAGTTGCCAACCCCTATGACTACTTTGGAGACCACGCCGAGTTCGGACCAGCTTTGTTCTCTCGACTTGTCCCCTTCTCGGTGCACGTCGCCACATCGATTTACGAGGAACGACGTGATCGCATGGTTAGCCAGAATATTATTCCGGAACTTGAATCGCTCACAGACAAGATTCACGAAATTCTCACATCGCTTGGGCTACCTGGATCTTTACAGGCTCTTGAGAAACCCCTGGGTCTACCGCCAAGTTTGGTCCAACATGCTGAGGAGATCAGACAAGCGGATGCCATTGGCAGAGTGCAAAAGGGCTTTGCGGATATTGACAAGTTGCGGTCTGGAGATATGGCAATCTTCGAAGAGGGCAAAGCGGCTCTAGCTTCGGAAGAAGAGGAAGATCAGCGGTTACGGATGAGATACGGAACAGAACGATGGGTGCGACCCGAGAGTCGGCAAGATCCTCAAGGTGGAAAGCTCTGGCAGCACGCTTCTGAGATCGAGAGTTACTTCCAAAGCAGTATCAGTAGTGACGCGGTCGTCAGAGAGAAGTTCGGAGCGATCCAGGACCTGCTTGCTATCCTTTCCGGACCGGACCGAGATCTGATGGACTCTGTGCCGTCGAGCCGACGGGTTGACATACCCGAGACTTTGAAACCTGTCATAGGAAGATTGCGCGGCGCATACAACGACGTTCTTCGTCTCGAGAGCCGTCGTCGCAAAAAGGTTGAAAGTTTGCGGGAAAACGCCCGGCGCGATGACATTAAGCCGGACATTCTCAAGGAAGCAGCCCGATTGGAGCGAGCGTATCCTAACACAGCACTCGTCCCGGCTCACTTTGAGGAGTTCTTTGACAAACGACTTGATAAGTTGTATGAGCCCGAAGTTGAAGCGATTGAAAAAGAGGCAAAAGACCAAGAACGACTGTTGGCCGATGTTCAGCGTATCAATCGTGAGTTTGAGTCGCAGAAGCGACAGATGGGTGAGCGTGGGAACCGAGAACGCGAGGTGGCTTTGCAGAAGCTCGATAATGCCTATTTTAAGTACAAGGAGATTATCAACAACCTCGAAGTTGGACGCAAGTTTTACAATGATCTGAACAAGATTGTTGGACAGGGTTTCCGTGATGTTATTCGCGGTTGGGTGGCTCAGCGCCGCATGGAGGCCAGAGCGTTGGAAGAGTATGTTTTCCATGAACTTGATACTAATCGTTTACTGACCGAAATTACAGAGAAATCAACATGCCGACATTGTCAAACCTCAACATCTCCCACCAACAACCTCCTGCCCAAAGCCCAATGCCGTCGCACCAAGACCCCTCCCACTCATACGCACCATCACCACAACAAGCCCCTCAAGCTGTGCAGAGCCCAGCTCAGGCAAACATACAATCTTGGGGAGAGACGGTACAGCAGCCAAAGCCAGTGCAACCAACGCCGGTTGGTGCAATGTGGACTCCTGGTATGGGAATCAAGTTTGGTCAGTCTGGTGGTTCAGGGCAGCCTCCTGCACCTGGGACATGGAATCCCAACTCTGGCATCAAGTTTGGTTGAGTGTAGTTGTGTAGATACCCTGATTTTTAGAGGGCTGTTTAGTAGACATTGCATACATGGCGAATACGAGTTTGTTTACCACCCACTGGGAGAGGAAAGAATGCTTAGGGCCTTGATCCTCAATGATAAAAAGACTTAAGTAAATTTAGTGTAAGTTTGGTATACCTAAGTCTAGGATAGTCTTAGGATAACTTTTGCTGAGTTTATTTCAACATCCCGTATCAAGGTCTAACCGATGTCTTCCTGTTTCCTGCTTCCTGAGGGCCCAGTGTCATAAGTGTCAATTGTATCTTGTCCCAAAACCATTGTGAAGTTTTTCGCTGTATCCCCCCCTCCAATGCCAATTCTTGGGCCGCTAATTCATCGGACAGTGTAAACACCATGGCTGACAGCATGGTATCCTCTCTTCCCAACCTTGCCCGTCAAATCGCTCTTCCACTCCTTGCCTTCCCCAACCAACTCGACAACCTTCTTGAACGTGAACTCCGGCTTCCACCCCAATTCCTCAAGCGCCTTGCTAGAATCATAGACCCGATCGATCCTCTTCAAGTGACTCCACCCCTTATCCTTGAACACCTGCACACACTCCGGCGCAACAGTCTCAAACACCTGCTTAGGGTCTTTGTCCAGCATCGCCAGCGTGTCAGCATCATTAGGGAAAGGCGGCTGCGCGCTGATGATGTACTTCCGAAACTGAATCTCCCGTGCTTTCTTCATCGCGCAGACTGCCGCGCGGACTATGTCTTCAATGTCACAGCGGCGATACGCTAGTTCGAGCACTTTGAGGTTGTCGTCCGAGACAGCTGCTCTGCGATCTTCATCGTCATCCTGCTCCGGGAAGAAGCGGCTCGTGCGGAGGATGACGACGGGCATATTTGTTTGCTTCTGGACAAGGAAGCATAGATCTTCTGCTGCGACCTTTGTAGCGCCATAGATGTTCTTGGGGATGGGGACGACGGTTTCGTCGATCCAGGCGGCGGGTTGGCCGGGCTTGGGACTCAGTGCTGCGCCGAATGTGCTTGTTGTGCTGAAGAAGACGAAGCTCTCGATCTGGGCGCCGAGTTTGGCGGCTTCTTCGAGAAGGACGAGGGTGCCGGTGATGTTTGTGTCGATGAAGTCTTGCTTGGAGTGACTCTCGACATGGGGTTTATGCAACGTCGCAGCGTGAAGGACATGCTGGATGGGGTGTTTCTGAAAAAGAGATGTTACAAACTCGCGGTCTGAGATTGATCCAACATGTGTTGTGTTCTCAGAGGGCAAGATGTCGATCCCGAGCGGTGTAAAGCCGAATGTCGGGAGGGAGAGCATAAGGGCTGTGCCGAGATGGCCGGATGAGCCTGTTACGAGGACGTTGTAAGCCATGGTGTTGGAAGCGGATTTTGCAGGATGAAGTGGGTGAGAGGAGGAGGTTTAAAGGCTTTTTCGAGGAGGTTATGGGTGAAGGTGAGGGTTTTGTAGATGAGGTGGGGTTTAGTCGGCGAGTGAGTCAGGCACTAAGACGAAGAGAGGTGTATCACGAACGAGGGCGGAAAAAAGGGATTGGATGGTGAAGATGGATGCTGTGAGAGGGGATACAGTGGTTGTGAGATGTTGTTGTGAGATCAGGCAGGGTGAGTTTCACGACGTGGTGTAAGGCCGAATTGAGTTGTTCACAGTCGTGTTCTATAGAGGCCTAGCTCCTTATTTATGATGTCCATGGAGTCTTGGTCTTATATTCCAGTAGTATGGAGTCTCTAAAAGTGATTCTGTCGTTGGTGATGGCTTCAGAAGTTGCTGTCAGCATTCAGTCACCTTAGGGGGTAGTGAAGATATGGTTCGACGTAACCACTCACTGTATTACATGCCGCGCGCCAATGCACAGAAAAGACTCTGAGATGATACAATGTGTCACGGAGTGATATCGGCTAGAGAAGAATGTTTTATTCTGCCAAATCTAACTGTTAAACTTGGCGTGTATTGATAGAACGCATTTACCAGTTGGATGCAGGTAGCAGTGAGGACTCAATTAGATCTCCGAATCACATCCGCAATTGAACTTGACAAGATGCTGGCTGGTAGAGAATATTCCCTGAAAATGTTCATGTCTTTGTTGTCCAATCGACTCTATATATATCCTGTGTTCACAATGCCCTCATTCTCAGCCTATGTCCAACAACGTCATCACTGCCGTAACTTGACCTTGACCACCAAGCCCCATCCTGTCTTGCCCTCCCAAATACCCATTTCGTTCTCCCGCCGAAACGTAACCTCCTCAGCCTTGACCGTCATAGTGACCGGTTCCTCCTCCTGTGCCTTTACTACCGGCGCTGGTGGTGTCGATGGTTCAGATTTCTTGAATAAGCCCCATCTTGATGCTTTCTTTGCTTGTTCGACGTGTACTCTGACAACCTGACGGTCTACTCGTTCTGGGGAAATGTACTTTGCTAGACGGACTGCCATGTCGTGATCTGACCACCAGAGGACGTCGTCTGAGGCTGATTCCTGGGTGTCGTCTTCCCATCGGCCCCATTCGTCGAAGGCTCTGTTTTTGGGGGGTTCACTCTGTTTAACAGGCTTCTTTTGGTCGCCTACCAGCTTGCGATCTTCTTTAACACGTACAACAGTTCGAGATTGATCTTCATCGCTAAAGAACCAACCCTCACCAACTGCTTCTTCTGGCACCATGGTCATTTCGACGACTCGCGGTGGCGGATCCATGGCCGCTATTGACGAGAGCATATCCTCAATGTGAGGCACCAGCAGGGTGAGTATTTCACTGTCCCGTCCATCGCGCACTGAGTTGCGAACGGCTTGAACGGATTGAATGCGTAGGGGGAGGTTGTTCAAATGTGAGGAGAAGATAGTCGTGACTGACTGTCGTGGTTCTGATGAAGGTAGTGATGCTGAGGGGCCGGATTCAGTGTATGGGGGAGGAAGATCCCCGCCATCGAAGGAGTCTTGCTTAGACATGATGTTGCAATGAGAAGAAGCCAAGTCTGGAGACTCTGCAAGACGTATGTTTAGTCGATGCTACAGCAAATGCCAAACGCCCGATGCGTATACATACATACATAAAACCTGAAACTACCTAGACAAAAAGATCAATCAGTCAGCCCACCATCAATAGCGCTTGAGTGACCACCAACTCAGCCTTGTATCGCCCCGTCTTCAAAGCGTAGTATCGAAAGCGTCAAACTAGCAATCGCCGAAACCACAAAAGAGGAGGGGACTCTCATCACAGCCTTGGGCTGCACATTATGTCTGCCTGAAGGAGTGCCCGTGGTGATCATTGGTTACTCATCGTGGCGCAGCAGAGTTGGTGGTTGTTCAGTCATGCAATTTGGGGGCTTGGCGGTGTTGGGACATTCCAAGTATCATCGAATCATGTTTTGTGCACGTGAATATCTGCATTGCGGCCGGGCGTTTAGCCAAGATGCTCGATTCGGATACCGGCAGGAAATGCTTGTGTGAGTGATTGATTGATTCCGCGATGTGCGCGGAAATTAAAAGATGGTCCGTTTACAGGGCTGTGTTGATAGTGCTTTGCGGCTGAACGTTAGTTTGGGAGAATGGATAGCATAACAGCAAGCGCTGAGAACCAATTGCTAATAAACGCATTAGAAAATGACATTTGTTGGGAGGAAACCGACCTTGGGACTTTGATCCTAAGTGACAAGAAACTTAGGTAACTTAGCATGAGTTTAGGATATCTTTTGCTGAGTTTGTTCTAGCACCCTAAAGCCTGATGTTTTGCTCCCCGAGGCCAACTTACACGAGTGCCCTGAAGCTTCGGTGATGCTTTAGAGGCGAACCCCACTGTAGATCACCCGAGAACGCCCAACGCCCAACCAACAACATCACCACAAAAAGAACCTCACCAAACCCGGGCATTCCCCAAAAAGTGGCGATCACATCACAAGCTCATTCTCTTTAATCTTATTCCTCAACTCAATCTGATCACGGGACCGCATTGCATACCCGCTGTGGACATGGAATTCTTCCAGAAACATGGGAATTGACAGGGATACTCCAGACTCCGCCACCACCTCTTGGAAGCTATGAGCGCGAGGCACATTCATCATGGAGTATGACCCTTGCAGGCTTTGAGACATGCATGTTTGTGTTCCTGTGTCATGATCGAAGCATATAAGGGAGTGGTTGTCCGCTTTGTGAGACACACCTTTCTGATCATACTATACAAATAATTCTCTAGTAACATTGGTTCTAGAGATATACAACACTCGCTGCAAATAACTACTTACACCTGGTCACAGAACACCAGTTCAATCCTTCAATACCCAACTACACTTCCACTCTCTTCTACCTTCAAAACCACCCAAGATGTCTTACAGAATCTCTGCCCCCGATGAGTACCTTGCCATCACTGGCATGGGCATCAAGACGGTCAAGATCACCAAAGCAACATGGGTCTGGCCCCTCCAACGATGCACACGCTTCAGGTATTCCTCCCCCCTTCTTCAACTGGCCAACACTCACTAACTCCTCACAGCATCCGCCCTCACGACTATGCCATGGATCTTCAGGCCATGACTAAGGAGAAGCTGCAGTTCTCTCTTCCTGTCGTCTTCACAGTGGGCCCTGATGTCAACCAGCGCGGGGCCAATCGCCCTGATGGCGACAGTGAAGCCGATGGTCTTGATCGTGAGGACCGAGGGGACGCTTTGATGAAGTATGCTATGCTCTTGGCCAACTCTGAGGAGAAGGAGAATGTCACCCAGGGCCAGCATGTTGCCAACATCGTCAAGGGCATCATCGAGGGTGAAACTCGAGTTCTTGTGTCTAGCATGACTATGGAAGAGATCTTCACTGAGCGAGAGGTCTTCAAGAAGAGGATCTTCCGAAACATCCAGAATGAGCTGTCGCAGTTTGGTCTGCTCATCTTCAACGCCAACGTACGTACCCCCAGCCCCTTTTTACCCACACGATAGCTGACATTCCACAGGTCAAAGAATTGAAGGACGCACCCAATTCAGTCTACTTCGCCTCGCTCTCCCGCAAAGCTCACGAGGGCGCCACCAACCAAGCCAGAATCGACGTTGCTGAGGCTCAACTCCGCGGTAACGTCGGAGAAGCCCAGCGCAAGGGTGAGCAAGAGCGTGAGATCGCAAAGATCAACGCCGAGACCGCCGTCCAGAAGACAGTTCGTGATATCGAGCGCGCTCAAGCAGAAGCACAACTCGACACCAAGCGCACAGGCCTCACCCGCGATGTCGACATCGCCCGCGTCACAGCCCAGCGTACCCTTGAGTCCAAGGATGAGGATCTCAAGAAGGAGGTTGAGATTAAGCGTGCTGCTGCTGAGATGGAACGTCTTCGTGCCACGGATGTCGTCAAGGCTACGATTGCGAGGGAGAGTAAGCAACAGGCTGCTGATGCTGCTGCGTACGAAGTTGAGGCCGATGCGCGCGCTCATCAGGAGGCCAGTCAGCGCAAGGCCGATGCTGCAGCTTACCAGACCAAGCTCTTCGCAGATGCAGATGCAGCAGCCACATACGCCAAGATCACAAGGAACACAGACGCCGAAGCTTATCAGACCCGCAATGAAGCCGAAGCCTACAACTACGCCGCTCAGCAGCGCGCCGAAGCTGAGCTCGTCAGCAAGCTCCGCGAGGCAGAGGGTATCTCCGCCATGGCTGACGCCTACGGCAAGCTGTCCCAGGCCTTCGGCGGTCCCGCCGGACTGCTGCAGTACATGATGATCGAGAAGGGCACATACGTCGAGCTCGCCAAGGCCAACGCCGCAGCCATCCGCGGCCTGGAGCCCAAGATCAGCGTGTGGAACACTGGAAATCAGAGCGGTGCTGGCCAGGGCGGTGGCGATGCGACTGAGACGATGCGCAATGTGTACCAGATGCTGCCGCCGCTGATGAGCACTATTAACGAGCAGACAGGTATTACGCTGCCGGAGTGGCAGTTTGGGAAGTTGAATGCTGGTGTTAACGCTGTTGGGCAGGAGGGTGCTAAGACTAACGGTCATAAGAGCCATTAGGGATTGAAAGGGGGTGGCTGATGGATGTACAGTATGAGAGGAGAACTATGATGGACGATCTTTGGATGTGATGGGCTTGTGATATCCGGCTTTGCCACTATTTTCTTCTCCTTTGTTTATAGATTTGTTTGATACCACTTTGTCAGCTTAGATTGAACATTTTACTTTAATGAAAACGATTTGAATCTACTGGTGAGCGTCGAGCTGCCTGTCCTGTGACAGTTGAACCACGTTTTGGTCTGTGATGGGAATAATACCGCAGCTGAGTCCTTCTGGGGAAAGACAAGGAGCGACTTATCCTCGGATTCTGGTGTATAGACTCACAGTCAACGACGGATACTCGTGGCTGAAGAGACGAAAGGGATGGGAGACAGACAATGGGGTAGAACAGACCCCAAACGGCCATGTGTTGAATGGAATTGTCGAAACACATAAAAAAAACCCTTGCGACCTCCTGTGAGGCGTTCTGGAATAATTGATGCTTCAGGATAGGCTGGCGCACTGGTCGATGCCTCTTTCGTTTTCATCATATCAATAGAAAGCTTCTTGATGGTCTATTCTTGGCTCGGATCGTGCGATATGATGGACGTTGATATGCATTCCCAAGCTGGGATGGGCGACTGAGCTTCGGCTCTCACGCTGGATGAATCTGTAAAACACCACGTTAGAAGAAAACCGACCAAGACTGGGAGTCAAACCTCACGATAGAATAAACTCTTGGCCTTATCAAGCGTTTAGCAGGGAAATATTGGCCCAGGACTTTCACAAGAGGGATGTGCTAGTGAAGTGCTCGCTCCATTCAATGGGGACTTATGAAGAGTCTGTAACACGCCTTGGATCAGCTCAAGTGTCGTCAGGGCGCTCAAACAGCTGTTCCTGTCGGCGAGTTTATACAGAGTAGAAACGAGATCTAGCAACATCGGAAGATCATGCTAAGAACTCTGATTCTTCGAGGCCCGCACCTCTCGACATGAGAGACAACTGAACTGGTCTTTCGTTTATTGGAAATGTGGTGTACTGAAGCCTCCCAGAGGTAGTCCCGATTCTCTGCAACTTGCGCCAAAACCCAGCATGGCGGCCAGGAATGGACGGTGACTTTGCTCTTCTACTTGGAACACTTGCTGGAGAGATCAAAGGGTCGTGATGTGCAGCGGTTGTCATGGAATCATCGGAAGCCGGGGAGAACGGGTTCGTGGTTGGGAGCTGCGTGTGGATTGTCTGGGACAATGAATAAAAGGTTAGCAGGGTTTATGCCTTAGAGTGTGACGATATCACCGGGGTACTTCTCTTGCGTCTGTAGACGAAGATTGATCTGACGCAGGGTGACATGTTGTTTACGGAGAATTCTTTTGTTCATGGCTCGGGCCAGGAGTGGTTTTTGGCAGTGGCTGCATGCTTCTCTACGTTGCACGGTGAATGGATCAGTCTTAGCATGTCACCGAAGGAGTTGGTGCGGAGAGAGATGTTCAGTTGTCGGAGTGGACGAAGAGGGTGGTGGCAATGAGGCGGGGCGGACAGTCACATTTGGAGTTCACAAGGTCTTGTGTGGGAGATGTATGTTCTAATTGATATGAATTGCTTGCATGCTATGTGCGCTGATCAATCCCAAGTTTCCACCACAAGTAGTAAACAAAGAAGATGGCATGCAAAGCCCAGCTAAGTTCTCTCTGCTGATTTAAGCTCCCAGTCACAAGTCTCGCATTGCCTTGCCAGGCACATAGAGCGAGAGTTGAAGATGGTCGAGGTGGGAGGTGAGTTGGCGGTGGAGGGGCCAACCGTAGTCAAAGAAATGTATTGTGAGATGGGAGAGAGGGAGTGAACCGAAGGGATACTGATTGACAAGTTAGTGATGAGTCAAGTCGATGAGAAGTGAAGACAACTTACCAGTTGCTGGTGATCTCCGCCGAGCTGGTCCAGACTTGGATAGAGAGCGGAACTAATGTTCGCTCGTCCAGTGGAAGTCATGTATAATATAATATACAAAAGGGAAGTTTGTCGCTTCGCCTGAGCGTCGCCATTGAAGGCCAATGTATAGTGCGTGTTGAGGAATCGTGAGGTAGGTTTGCTTCATTCTTCGGTTGGCTCGGCATGGAAAATGGGGTGAGATCAATGTGATCCAAGGCTAGACATATTAATTAGTACAATGTCAATGTCGGAGAGAGGGATGAAGACAACTTACCAATTGTCATGACGATGAGACGAGTCTGATCCAAAGCTGGGATAGAGAGCCGAACTAATGTTGGCTTCTCGAGTTTCCCCCCCGCTGAAGTGTCCTTGCTTCTCACAGTTGCGGCAGTCACAGTTCCGGCAAGTCAAGTGGAAAATACGGGATACTGTCTGCTCTCCCATAGTCAAGCCACTAACCGTCGAATTCGATGTCGGTTCCCGTGTTGACCAGCAAATGACTGCTCTGCTGCCGGGAGGGCAGGCCCCGTGGGGCTTCAATGCTACGGTCGGCCGCGCAGTGTGTGTATATATATAGTGGTGAGACAAGACCCCGTGGGGCTTCAATGCTGCGATCTGGTCGCGCAATGAACAATATATATAGTAGAGAGGTAGAGATGTTGAGGGTACAAGGTAAGGATGTTGATGAAGGAAGGAAGGCAGGGAAGGATGGATGTTGAAGTGATGATAGGACGAGGCCGGTGGCTGACTTTGATATCATCACAGGCTTCCTGGTACTCTTTGAGAAGATGAGGGAGCTTTTCAGATTGAGACCGGGGGAAGGATGGATGTCTTTGTAAAGAGAGTACCAATGGAGCCGACGCGTGAAAGTAAGCGACAACGGCAACTTCGGCGATGTAGTTGTCGAGTTCAACTGGCGAGGTTGTGAGCCAAGGGTTGAAGTGTTATTTGCAGTTGAGACTTGTGGCTGAGAGCTTAAATCGACAGAGAGAACTTGGTCATCGTGACTTTCATGAAACTCGTAAATTCGTTGGTATCGTAGGCAGGGTTGTGTCGGTGGCGAGCTCAGATGAGGTCGCTGAGGTCGTCCTTAGAAGCGCCGCCGTCCCAGATGCCACCCCCATCCGGGGCGGCAGTGGCCTTGGCGGCATCATGGGCCTTCTGACTCTGATGGAGCTCACGGGCCTCCTCAGGAGTCACTCCGAAGTTGGTGGTGTTGGAAAAAACTGTTTAAGAGTTAGCATGTTGAGATGGAGGGCAACTCTTTTGAAGATAACTTACATAGATGATATGCTCGGCCTCCCCGACGATTACATAGAATCGTACCGCCCAAAGGAACGGTGACAACATCATGCAACCACCGGGAAGACCGAGACATACCAACTTCAAAACGCTCCCGTGCTGTTTCTTGTTGAGCTCGCGGGCCTCCTCAGGGGTCACCCCGAAGTTGGTGGTACGCGGAAGCATGTCGGCGCCGTACATGCTGCGTCGGGCAGCGACCATAACATCCATAGACCGCTCAATCCGATGCTCAGTCCCCTCACTATGCAAACATAGATTAGTTCCGTCATAGATGGACGTGGAAGACAGTTGAAGATGAACTTACACTCGCTGGACTCGAGCGAGGCGCTCCTCGTGTGGGCCCCGAGGACCAGGGCCGACACTCACCCGCCTTGCGACGGGGATCGGAGCGGCTCACAACAAAGTCACCAAACAATTCCGGCCAACCTGAATCGAAACAAGCAATCGGGCCTCCCGAGAGAGGCGCCAACAATTTGCGCCGAAGGAGGTTGGCCGTCCTTGTTCGGGATATTTCGAAGCATTATCTGTGAAGAGGTCAGTCCTGCCTGTGATGGAAGACAGGGCGGTAGGTACTTACGGTGGTTCGGACATCACGTCCCGCAACGTGCTTCGGAACCGCGGATGTTCGTAGGGGCGGCCCTCTTGGGGCGGCCAGTCACCCAGTATGTCGGGGAAGAGGAGTCACCCAGTGTGTTGGGGAAGATGTTGAGAAAGGTGATTTGGAGGTTCGGTGAGTTGGCGAAGCATGGTCGGTGCCTGATCTGCTCTTGATCTGTCAGGTCAGTACATTTCGCATTTCCCTAGATCACAAATGATACTTACGGTGATGTAGTTGCCGAGTTCAACGATAGAGGGCGCAGGAGTGCCACAGACCTCGATGCGGTGGGAGATGTCCATGTCCTGGCTTAGAGCGCCAGCGAAAGTGGGATTACCATCTGGGTAGAAGACAAGTGCGTTCTTGCCCTTGAACCTCTGACCAAAAGGCTGGAAAGAAGAAGCGCGGCCGCCGTCATACTGGGAATGGCGCCGCCGCTCATTGCGGAAGTACTGCCCAGCAGTCTGGGTGAACAGACCTAGGTCAACAAGTTTCAGTTGCCTGCCATTGCGGTTGATTGTGAGGGGCTGCGTACCAACGTGTTCGGGGTTCTCAACCGAGCGCTTCATCTTCGACTGGTTGTCCGGGCCAGGGAATGGCTCTTCCTCTGGAGGGGGTCGTTGTCCCAACCATCGACGACGTTCTCCGGCACCATAGAGAAAATACGGGAGGCTTTCCTCTATGGTGCCAGAGACCACAAGAAGGACGGGCAGTCGCTTCAAGTGGCTGGCCCGGGACCCTAGATGAGTGGTGAGTATGTGATGTGTGCTCATGCGTCGAAGCGAAAGTGAATCACTGAGTAAAGTGAAGCGCGAGGCACTGCGTGTTTGGGGGCAAGGAAAGAGAGGAGGAGATTTGGGGAGAAGAAATGAAGAGCAGCACGAGATGTTTCCGCTAGGAGAGAGAAGGAAAGGTGACGTGACTCACTGTCGGTAGGTTGAGGCCGCGCAGGACCCGGAGCCAGACGTCGTTGGCGATAAATATATTGGAGGAGAGGGGATAAAAATGTTTGAGGATGAGAAAGGAAGGAAAGAAGGGATGGGGGGAAAGTAGGAAGGGAGAAATATAGAGCCCCAGCAACCGAGCTGCATGAGGGCTTCTGCCCTCTTCCACTGGCAGCCATGCGTCTCTGTTACTGGCAACAATGACATCACGCTTCCAATTCGCTCGAGGGGGAGCTCCTTGTGTTACCGGAAGGGAGCTTCAGTGGTTCCTAGTACGTTGGATGGCCCCTGGGGAGACGTACGTGCACCTATCTAGTCACCTGCGGGCAGCTGATACCCTGAACAGACCCTCCCAAGGCGTCTCCAAGTGCTATGATATTCTATTGTTCAGTTGCATGAATATGTATCACGGGATTGGTAGTTTTAGACAATAAGATCACTTTGCTATCCTCCTCGTTAATGTGATTTACTGGTAGGTTGACACTTGGGGATCAATGGATACACTCCTCGTCAATGGTGCGAGGGAGCCTTTGGCTGGGTCTCCATTTGCTGCACTTGGTTCCTCTGTGCGTACTTTTGTGTGGTGGCCAAGGCCGTTGGGTAAAAGCATTCTATGCACAAGGTCCGTGTTCGCGTTCTGACACTGCCCTGACCAAGAAACACTCGGTGATTCAGACCGCAAGCAAAACCATACCGCCCCCGCTTTGACAAATTAAGTGTTCAAACTCAAGGCGAATGTTGAAAGAGAGTGTCAGAGCCGTATTTTGGGAGTCAGTGATATGTACACTGGTTCGCTCCTGGTCCAAGACATCTTGACAAAGTTACTCCTTTTGACAAACACCACGCACACTACAGATCTCTGAAAACTCACTGTGATATTCGCTTGCACCTGAAGTGAGTACAGGCACCGAAGGGAAAGGGACAGTAACTCAATCGAAATACGAATCCCGCTGCGGACTGTTGCGAGCTACCCACCACCACATTGGCCACAACCGAGGTGTGAGCAACCCAGCAATCGCTGCAGTAATACACCATTAAAACACTGAAAACAAACTCTAATGACCTTTCGTACAAGTTCGCAACATGCAATTCCATCGCTGTCATAAGAGTGTCCTCTACCCCTTTTCACATCGCCCTCCGACCTTGACCAGCTCCGACCTTGCGAGATACGTGACATCAAGCTATTGGGACGTAGTCACCGCCGATCCAATATAAGGCGCGCAAGCTATTCAAGCTCGCATCAAATTGACCCGGCGTTGACTGAGCGCTGCTCAGTGTCATCATTCTGGACACAGCACCACACGTCCACGACTCCACAGAACACTTGAGTGAAAGGTATTGCAAGATCTACATGATTCACGGTACTCGGTGACAACAATTGGAAGCCGCAGGACTTCCTACTTCGGTCGTGGCTTTGTTAATAACAGTATCTAATGGTGATCTGGTCTCAGGGGCTTCCAAATCGGCAGCGACATCTGGACAATTTACATTAATCTGATTCATAAACGATTCCGACTCTTCAGAAGACCAGGAAACACTTGCAGCAAGAGAGGCTCTGTATCATGAGAGGAGTTATGCCTGGGGAGGGGGGCATGATGTTGGCCTGCAGCAGGTAGTGGTGAATGGTGACCCTTAGACGTAGAGGTGTGCGGTCTCTGAATGAAAGCCTCGTCTTAAAACAACGCATGTACAAAGAAGAGCTCTTGAAGCTGTTTTCACCTTAGTCGGACAGTCAGAAGAGAGACCTTCTAACGAGTTCCTTCAATGCAGCCGTTGGCGCCGACACTTCCACAAGGACACCTACATCCACTACAGGTTCATTGATGGAGACCAGAAACATCTTTAGTCACAAATCTGTACCAGTAGCATTGTAGATTCAACTGATTGAATGCATTTTACTGGCGCCATCGAAGAAAGAGTGGGCACTTGTTCTTTCTGAAAGAATTCCAGGCGCAGAAAAAGCCTCGGGACGCGAGGCAATGTCTTGAACACATCTCACAAGAATATCGTTTTCCCGTCTGAAGTGGACTTGGCCTCTTCTTTTTGATTCGCCCCACTCCTCAATTTCCATCAGTGCATCTTGCAAATAGGCCATCCCGGTGTCTTCCACCAACACCCCGCTTCCACTGATAGCCCTTCCTTTGAAGACGATACAGGCGCCAGAAACGCTTGATGTTCAAAGCAACAGACCTCTTCGCCACCCAAACACTTCTTCGATCTAGGAATTTGGAGTGTTTTGCGGAAAAGGGGTGCATCACACAGTCTCACTTGACGATCAATATCCCAGACCGAAGTGATCCCACTCGATCCTAATTCCCCAAGTCAATACCTAAGCTTTGCATCTGTTTCACTCGCCATACATTGCCTCTTGGGACGCTTACAATGCCTTCACCTTACAAGAGGGGCGCTCTTCAGACATATCCCGCGAATCTCATCAGCAAGTAGGCCCACCGTGGCAAGTGATACAGGGCTAGGAAGAGGGCTTCTCATATGATACACCTTTACCTCAGAGCCTCACAAATGTTCAATCTCGGAAATGGGTAAGTGAACAGCTCTGCGTCATGTTCAAAACACATTCTCATTGACCTCCTGCGCTGAACAACACTTGACTCGACTGATAGCGTCAACGCTTTTCGACAATACCACCAACCCGAACCCGATCCGATCATCTCAGCCCTACCTGGGGCAAAGGTTAGATACGCGAGAAAGCCAAACAGCTCAAGTCAGGGATGGGCCAGCGCGCGTACAGTCCCAAAGATGACGTCCATCAGCCCTCAAAGGCACCCAAGATCCTAGGCTTTGCTCGGAACTAGTCTGTATACCGCTATTCACAAGGGATCGCACCCGAAAGCTCACGTTTGCTTCGACATTGTAGTCTGGGAGAGTGACCACTGCGTCTCCGCCCTCTGGGAAGAGAAGCAAGGTTACCGTCATCACCACTTGTAGCCCAAGCAACGGCAAGGGGATGAGGCCGGCTATGGTGTGTCAGCTTCATACTGATGCATTTACTACACCTCTAATTGTTCTCTACAGATCATGAGTTCAATGATGAAATACACAGCGAGCTCAGCAGCACGATTGCGCCAACTCCGAAGTAACAGCCGACAACGAACTACTATCTCTATCACTCACCCTTTGACCGCTACGTCATGATTGAACTGCAAATGGGCTTTGACGATACATACGGCGCCGGTACTTTACCCACAATGCTTTCATGATGCCCTCGACTTAACCTGTCTCAGGAGTGCTGTCACTTCAGAGACACGTACAAGCGGGACGAACCACCTCAGTATATCTTGCGACTTCATACTACCCTTCCATTTGTACTGGGGTACCAATCGCGTGGGCCCCTTTAGGGGACGAAGGGTGGTTGTTGAGCTGCGCCTTGACCAGAATTCATGGGGAAAATATTCAACTCCCAACCAGAAGCTCATGGTAACCGTCAGCCCCGTTGAGTGGCCCCAGTTCCGATAGCGCAATGAGGGTTACTTCAGCTGCTTCAAGCAGGATGCGATTCTTGACAGCAAACACACCGGAAGACGTTCAAGACCTCAACGCCCACTGATCCATCGATGAACTACAACATGAATCAATGGTGGAGATTTACCCGAGAGGTGACTCGAAGTTCGTTGGGAAGAGTCCGATTACATACTCGATCTTTCCCCTTTCTCTTCCGTGATGCCAAAAGGGGATGCTAGCGACGTGCCAATCCAGCACACAAACGAAAACTCGACATCTCGCTCCAGACATGATAACCGCTAGAAGGAGTTAAGGCGCTATCGACTCCAATGTGTCAGGGGCCGCTGAGTGGCCCAAATTGGACTTATGAGACTACAGGACACTACCCGATAGCCGCCCTCCACAGCATCGGAGTCGCCAATTGAGATCAAGTTGAAGTCAGATGGGATCTGTCATGGAGAGAATGGGGCGGGCCAGCAACAAAGAGCAAACACACACGGCCCAGTGAGGCAGTGACTGATCGAATAGTGGTCTCCTGTTCCGACACAGAACGTCCCTCCGCAGTCCGTCCACTTTCACAAGTAGGAAGCTAGTACGTGCAGTAGAGCAGTTTCCTACCCAACCTTGATAGTTATGCGATCAATCTGATCAGGAGTCTTATACTAATGTCCTTGGTCTTCGCAGTATTTCCACTCCACACCGTACCAGCGTCCCGCATCATATGCGCCTGCTCGAACCCAATCCCACCGTTATCGTTTCGTCCACTTGGCCTTGAGCATGGACAAGAGAGCCTGGGCGACTGTGGCATCAACTGAGGCCGCCCAAAGGTTCCAAGTTCAGAGACCCTGCCACAGGACTACACTATCCCTCCTTCGCTTTATCTTCGAAGCACATGGCAAGAGCCTCTTGGAGTGTTACAATCCGTCCATGCCAATGTCCCAGCTGATCGAGTCCTGCAGCGCCGCCAACGTAGCCAGCGACATAGCTCATCTTTGGCTAAGCTGAGAAGGAAAGACGGTCTCTGGGCTCGTCCCCTGAGAGTCAGTCTCGATGACTTACCGAGCCTCTTCTGAGGATTCAGCCAGCTCTTCGGCCCGTCGCCCTTTCCGAAAGTACAGGTCATCACGACGAGGGATATCGGAGCGCGTGATGAGCATTGAGCGCTC